CGATATGAAGGGATTCCTAGGTCTGTATCAGTTCCTGGCTTATCACCGGTAGTTAAGAACACAAAACGTGAACCAGCTACTAGTGGTGGAAATACATAATGGGTGTTTGGGAAGTTGCTATTTTATCAAGCTATTTTAGTTTGACTATTTTAATAGGCTAAAATTTTTGTGTTTGGGAAGATAGTTTGATTTTTTTGTAGTTGGATGTGATGTTTGTGAGAGAAAAATTGAAATGATTTTGGATTTGATGTGACATTTTGTCTTATTGGCTATTTTAGCCTATTTCGTCATTTTGAGGATTTTAACCCAAAAAGCCAAAAAAAGCTTTTGCCAAACACCCCCATAATCTAATGAATTGAAGGAGGGAAAAGTGTACGTCAAGGACAAAGACAGACAAAAAGTTACTTAGATACAAGAGATTACTCCTGATCATCCATTGCTATCTTCTTGTTCTGATGAGAGTACAAGTAACTCTGAAACCCTTATTCCTCCTGAGTATACTGATCTTGATATTCCTATTGCTCAACGAAAAGGTGTGAGGTCTTGTACTAAAGATCTCATTTCTAACTCTGTGTCCTACTCTAATTTGTCTTTTTCTTATAAAGCCTTTGTGTCCAAAGTTTCTTCTGTTAGTATACCAAATCATTTTCAGGATGCTCCTGCTACACCTGAGTGGAAACATGCCATGATAGAAGAAATGAAAGCACTTTGTAAAAATGACACTTGAGAATTAACTAAGTTACCTAATGGCAGAAGACCTGTGCGATGCAAATGGGTGTATACTGTGAAGCACAAAGCGGATGGTTCAATTGAGCGTTACAAGGCTCGACTAGTGACAAAGGGCTTTACTCAGACTTATGGAGTAGACTATCAAGAGACCTTTGCACTAGTGGCTAAGATAAATTCAGTCAAAGTACTTCTCTCTCTTGCAGCTAATCTGGATTGGCCACTTCATCAATTTCATGTAAAAAATGATTTCTTACATGGTGATCTAGAAGAAGAGGTGTATATGGACATCCCTCCTGGCTTTAAGAACCATCAAACAAAAGGTAGAGTATGCAGGCTTTGAAAGTCATTATATGGTTTCAAACAATCTCCAAGGACTTGGTTTGAGAGATTCACTCAAGCTATGGTCAAATATGGCTTCAAACAGAGTCAGGCTGATCACACTTTGTTTGTGAAGCATTCCTCACATGGTAAGACTACAACTCTCATTGTTTATATGAGTGACATAATGCTTACAAGAGATGATAATGAGGAAATACCCCGATTGAAGAAATATTTGGCAAGCGAATTTGAAAAATAAAATAAAACAAACTTGGGGAATCTGAAGTATTTCCTAAATATTAAGGTTACCCAATCCAAGGATGGAATTTTCATCTGTTGGAGGAAATATGTTCTTGACTTGTTGAAAGAAACCGGAATGCTTTGGAGTAAAGCTTGTGATACACCATTAGAGCCAAACCAAAAACTTAGTGATTATAGTGGGGGAACTATTGTTGATAGGGGGAGTTATCAAAGACTAGTGGATAAACTCATTTACTTATCTCATTCTCGTCCTAACATTGCCATGGCAGTTAGTGTGGTTAACCAATTCATGCATGCTCCTCATGAGAAACACTTGGTTGCAGTAATGTGCATCCGTAGATACTTAAAATCTTCTCCAGGAAAGGGTCTCTATTTTTCCAAACATGATCATCTTCGGGTGGAAGTTTATACTATTGCTGATCAGGTAGGATCAGTAACTGATAGAAGGTCCACTTCTGGTTATTGTACCTTTATTAGTGGTAATTTGGTTACTTCGAAGAGTAAGAAACAGCATGTAGTCGCCCGGTCTAGTGTAGAGGCCGAGTTTAAAGCCATGGCACCAGGTGTATGTAAACTCTTGCGGATCAAGTTGTTACTAAGTGGTCTCGGGATTAGTCATACCAAGGTTGTTAAAATCGGGATCCTATGTGGGATCGTTGGAAGAGACACGTGGAATCAGATCGAGGATCGTAAGATTCTACTTTCAATGTAATATAAAATGAAAAATTATCGATAATGATAATATATGTTACGTAATTTTAAAAAGATTAAAGAAATATGATAAATTTGATATAATGCATCTTTTATGTTAACATTAATTAGAAGAGACATTTGAAAAAAGTGTTTATAGTCAAAAAATTTTATATAGATATACGCATGTACATACATACATATAAGATATAAATAATAACAAAAAAATTTGTTAGGATTGGGGTCGTAGTAGAATCGGGATCGTACGCAATTTTACACGATTTTATAAATAGGATTGTAGTAACTTTAAGATCTTACTAAATTTAAGATCCTAGTGTGATTTGGATCGTTTGACCCAACTAAAATCGTAGAATCGTAGGATCCTACGATCCGCATCAAAATTCTAATAACTATGAGTCAACTAATTCCATGTGACTATACTATGACAATAAGGCTGCTATTAACATAGCACACAATCCAGTTCAGCATGACCGAACGAAACATGTGGAGATTGATCACCACTTCATTAAGAAGAAATTCACCAGTGGCACTATATGTACTTTTGTGAAGTCCAATGAACAACTGACAGACATTCTCACCAAAGGAATTGGAAGCAAACCATTCCATGATGTGCTTGGCAAGCTGGGCACGAGAGAGATCTTCGCACCAGCTTGAGGGGGAGTATTAATATTTTTGATTATTGTGTATTGATTATTTTATTAGCTGTTATTTCCTTATTCTGTTATTTCCATATTTGTGCCTCCAAAGCTTCCATTGTAAGCTACCTATTATCAATATAAAAGGGGATGATTGTCTAATCATTCCCTAGGTTTTGTTCTCTCTTAACAAACAGTCTCATTATCCCATTGAATTTAAATTTGGTTGAAATTTATGTGCCAAACACACACACATAGACAAGGAGATAGAAAATGAGGCAGGCACCAAGAGGGCTTGGGGAAGGGGAAGGAAGGCGGCTAGGGAAGAGAGGGGAGATGTGATGGCGGGTGGAGTAAGGCAGAGGGATGCGACTAAGGATGGCTGAAGGAGAGGGATGTGTAGTGGAGGATGGGAAAGGCGGCGATGGTTGGCCACGACAGGGTGTTGTTCTCTCTCTCAAAATCCCACTCTCCCTATTCTCTGCATTAGAATCTCTCTCTTAATTTGGTTCTTTTTTTTTTCTTTTTTTTTTTTTCTTCTGAGACTTGACGCAGCTGACAACTATCTCAATACATGTATTATTAGAAGGGCCAAATCAAGCAAGGCTCATTTTTTCCAAAATATGTTCCAGATAATTGAATTTTTTACTTCTAGTCATTACAATGAGTAGTGAATCACATGGTTCTGGATGGTTTTGGTCTCAACCATCGAAATAGTTCACTGCTAGATTGGCATCTTAAAGCCTCTTTAAGATTCCATTGACTAAATTTGTTTGAGGTTTTTTGTCAAATGCATAAAGAGCATTTCTTAGGGAAGGTCCCCAACGATCACACTCCAATAGCTGTAAGGGAATGGGCCATAAGATGGAGTGGAACTGCTGGAAGAGGAAGAGGAAGAGGGAGGTGGTGGCTAACAGTGGGAAGCATAAGAGATAGGTGGTGGGTGGCAGTGGGGAGGAGGTGGGTGGTCAGAAGGAGACTGGAAGGTCTTTTGGCCAGTGATTTGGTCTTGTTTAGTGTATAAGTATAATAAGATGAGTGGTTTTGATTGGTTTTAAAAAATAAATAATAATAATAACAATAATAAAAGCGTGCAAATTGTCAATTTTATCCTTGAAGAATGGTCACATGACTAGCACGTGACCATTTTCTTCCAAAAAAAATGAAACATCTGTAATTGATTGGACTAGAGTCTCACGAGAAAAGAAAAAAAAAAAATATTCAAGATCAAAATCGAATCAATTAAAATTAGAGGGACCAAAATGACATAGAGGGCAAGTACAAGGACTACTTGCATAATTTTCCCTTATATATTTTAAGTTGATTAGATTATTTATAATGCACAACCTATGGGAACAGTTTTGTGATTAAAAAACAAATTATATTACAGTTTCCATGCAGGACTACAAATAAGATGTGCATTCCAATATTTTAATGAAAATAAAGGATACAACTTTGCCGATTAAAATAAATAAATAAAGAGAAAGATATAGCTTGAATATGGATAAAAGCACAAGCCTGATTCTACAAATTTTAAACTACATTAGAGGCTCCAAAACAGAATACCCCATCTTCAAAATAGGTATAGTTCTGAGGAAAGATAATCTACTTTCATTAAGCGATTTATTAGATAACTGAAAACAAATCATGTTGAATTATCCCTCTAAAATTGTGGTTATGGTAAAATATTGGTTTATTTAATCATCAAGGGCTCAAAAGCACATGAATTTCATAACCAGAAATACAAAATTGAAGGCTAGTGATGCAGAATGTGCACACATGGAGATTTTGTATTTATTATTTATTTTCCTATTTTATTTATTTATTTTAAATTATAGTTTATTTAGAGTTTCACTTTGGTTAGGAGTTTAATTAATATTTATTTCCTATTTTATTAGAATTTGATTTCCTATTTTGAGTTAGGATGTTGACCCATAAATATTAGGTCATTGCTTTGTAATAGTTAGCTTGGATTAATATATTGAATGTCTAAAGGCTGTGGCCATTTGTGTCAGGGCTGTGGCCCTCTTCTCCCTCTTCTCTCTTCCTCTCTTCTCTCTCTCTAAAGCACTCTACATCAGCTAGTTATTCAACAATATAACATGACTAGTATACCCAACCAAGTTAACGAATATCTATCAAGATCTATCAGAATTTTTTTTGTAAATGAATCAAGTGGGTTGCAAAAATAGAATATAGATTTCTGTACATATGATTTCCATATAACAATGGGTTCCCGGGATTTGAAAAGGTGACTAGCTGGTTCCTAAATGAAATAAGGAACCATATGATTTCAAGAAAAAAAAATTTATAGAAACATCTTTCCTCGAAGAATTACAAAAGAACCTGGTATATTATCGGATCTGTCACCAACAAGTGACATTACATCAACAAACTGAGAAGGTTTCAGTGCTCCAAACTTCTCCGCAAAATCCTCCACTCCAAATGAGACCATCCTGAGAAGCAACACCAAACATTAGAAAGCCCCACAAATCGGTTATACATGGAAGTAGCAACTATTAAGTTCCACAAGACAATAAAGAGACCAATAACCAAGAAAAAATATCTACTTATATCGTAAATTTCACTATTTTATGAAATTTCAATTCTCTCCAGTTTGATATACCTTTTCAGCTAATTTACATTACTCTTTCAATCAATACTTACAACTATTAGATTGAGAAAGAAAATTTCACAAAAGTATCGGATTTAACACAAGCAATAATGCAAAGCAATTGACCAACAAAAGAAGTACTCTCTCTGAATTCCCATGAGCAAAGAAGTGCATGAAGCTGCATATATTGACATAACATTTAGTTGTACGAACACACAAAGCCAAGGACCATACAAATTCAGCAAAATAAACCTGTAGGTATCTGAATACCATTAACTGGTTGGACGGCCACTAAGGAGTGGACCCCACAACCTCAAGGCATGGGCCGTACCTCAGTAAGTGCTCACCCAAGCACTTCATATTGGCTCGTGAGCTTTCATATGCTATGAGTGAACCCTGCTCCACGACCATCTTCCCACCCCACTATCCCCGATGCGCAAGCAAATACCCCACTCCACGGATCATCTACTCACCTCACTACCACTTTTCAATGCCATACGCGTCGATTCACCTCACCCACTCAGCAATCACTTCACCTTGCTAAGGCTCCAACTCCGAAATAGCACCTTGATGTTGTATTGGCTTCATAGGCTGGGCGCAGGGACTAAGGACACCCTCGAGGTTGATGCCTCAATCATGAGATGCCTGAGCAACCTATGACTCTGCATGGGTGACAGATGACTACAGCTGAGGGATCGTCAAAGTTGTATGGCTCACCCCCTTGGGGTGGCCACACTTTGATCAATCTTAGACATGAGAGAGGTCACTACATACACCAAGAAAAACCAAGTCATGTGACACCTGGGAAGTGTATCACAACTACCCAAATCTTGTAGGGTGTATCACATCTACTCAGCACAATTACTGGAAGTGAGCTAGCCAACCAACTCCTATAAACAGGGCCTTGCCCTCCATATTTAACAAGGTCATAAGCAAGCTCCTCTGCATGCAGAGTTTTGCACCACATCAGAGGCTCCTCACTGCCACTCTCTCTCTCTACTCGAAGTCTACCATAGCTCTCTCCCTCTCCACATCTGGTGTTGTCGAGCCATCTCAGTGCCTACCATGATTCCTAGAAGGTCCACAGCCGACCAAATCACAACCAAATACCTACAACATACTCCATAGGGAGAGTGGTATTCGCTAAGCATGGCTCCTTCAAGTCTCTTCGGTGAAACATGTTCAGAATCAATTCCTCATATTTTTACTACCAACAATACCAAATTCACACAAGCAGGAAAAAAGGAAAATAAAGAGTGCAACTTGATATCCCTTAATGATGCTACATGATGATCTAGTCCAGAATTGGGACTCAAACATCACTTTGGCTCTTCTAATTCAAATGTTTAACATCTTAAAAAGATACAGAAATAAAGAATAGTACTCAAAGTTCCAAAACAAGGAAAAATAGATGTTTGTTAACAGAAATATGAACGTACAACAAGGTACAACAAAACAATCTAAATGTGCAAATTGAAGGTGATACTTACTCAAATCCACGAGGTGCAATTCGCAAAAGACGCAATGAAGGAGATAGAATCTGGAAAAAATCTTTGTCTGGGGAGACCACACGAACCTGTGACCAAGGCAGTACAAGCATCAATTACAAATTACAATAAAATGACACACAAAAGTGTTTGGGAACAAGATTATAATAGAGCAAGTTATTGTTTGTCAAGGAAAAAGAAATGCATTATTGTTCACTAAACCATGCAAACAAAAGAATAATGCCATGTATTAATAAGTAGCAAAGACAAATTTAAAATCCTGTTAGGTATTGCTTTTAAAATTTTCATTTTCGTTTTTTGTGTTTTCAAAAACAAACACAATGAAAAGCTCAGAACACCCATTGTTTTCATACCGTTCTTATTTTTCAACAAAAATAGTTTTCAAACTCTAAAAACAGTTTAAAAGAGTTTCCTAAAAGGGGTGTTTCAAAAATCTTTCCCAAAAAAGTTTCCAAAAACAATTTTCCAAACATGTTGTATTACTTAAAGACGTACCTAGTGTATACCCAAGCCGTACCATACCACAGTTAAAATAATATTTTCTTCTAATACATAGGTAAAAATTAGTAGTTATTTGGAATGTGATATATAAGTGCACTTTTTGACTTTTTGGTTAAAAAAGTCAAGAAAAAAAAGATGTATGTTTGGGATAACATTTTGACTTTTTACGAAAAGATGTGTAATAAAATATTGTAGTAAAATCAAAATGACCATTTTACCCTTTTGACTCTTTGACTTAACATTTTGACTTTTTGGATAGTTGAATCCAAATGTCAAAATCTCTGTTATCAAAATCTTACAATTCACGATTCGATTCGCGATTTTTGCAAAATCGATACGAATCTATGGGTGAATCTCTAGTAAATCGCACGATTCACAATCAATTCACAATTCGATTCACTTTTTACGATTCATGCAATTTTTGAAATTATTGTATCTGACATATTTTTAACTCTTTTTTTCTCCATCTTTTTAGTGAAAATGACATAATACAACTTCTAATAGTGTTTAATGCCAAAATAACCAACATATATATACACGACTTATTGTTATTTTAGTGATCATGAAGTTTTTAATAGGATCTAATCAGATTCAGTTAAACCCAACATATTTGTAACTTTTCTTCTCATTTTTTTTCCCTTTAAAAAAGCATAATATATCTTCTAAAGATGTTTAAGATTAAAGTTACACTAGAATTATATATTGCTATTTTATTAAATTGCATATAATTAAATATTACATGTGTGAAGTCAGTTATACCTTTTAAAATATTTTAGGCTTTAAAATAAAATATTCGAAATAATTCTTTCTTATTATTTGCTCACTGTTATTTAGAAAAGTAGATATGCTTATTGTCCAAATATCAATATCGTTTTTAATTATTGTTACTTTGAAAATTGATAATTTATCTATTTGGTTATTATCTTTGTTAAGAATGATTAATAAGAAATACCTATAAAAAAATATAAAAAAAAGTAAGATAGTGATCTTACATAGGAACTTTTGTTAACTTCTTACCTATTAAACTACGTGATTATCATTCAAAATAACATTTTCATTAATTTAAGTCTAAATATTTCATATTCATAAGATATATTTAACATCTAAATGTGTAGATATATGTTTTTAAGTAATTTAAAAAAAGTGACCAAATCATTACGATTCAAGATTCAATTCGGTTCGATTCGATTCGATTCGCGATTCAGTACGAGACCATTTCAATTCACGATATGAATCCTAATTTGACAACTAAAAAAACAACACCCAATTAGTACACAATAATATGTGTTTGGGAGGGGAAAGATTGAGTACACACCTAACCTTTGGCATAATACACAAAATGGTGACCCTAAGACTTGAACCCATAACCTCAAGGTTATTAGGCCAAGTCTTAACCATTGCCCTAATAGCTTTCCTCACAAGCTACCCTTGAATAGTATAGACTTTTTAACTTTTTTAGTAACTTTTTGACTTTTTGATTTTTTTAGTTTATCCCAAACAAGACCAAGTTTCATTGGAATTTATTTTAATGCATAGCATGATTTTAAAATTATCTATCGTTTGTAAATTATTTAATATATTAACATTTAATTTTGATTTATACCTTTACTTTTTGGCATTAAATGTTAATTGTAGGTTGGATCTTAACAAACTAAAACATTTAACTAATTTTTGCGTTACTCCAAATCAAAAATAAATATTTTTTTACAAACATAGCTAACCATACCCATGTCATACTTTTTTAGATTTTACTGTATCAATGTACCCGTATTGTACCAGTATCCGAACCGTACACGTACACGCGCTTTATAGGTTAAAAATTAACCTAGACTACTTGATAAACTACATAACAAATTATAAAATACAATGACTCATATAAAATCTTTAAGGAATGAGGGTTTTTTGTACTTATGCACTCATTAGTATAAATACATGTAGTTAGAGAGGAAAACCCTAATTTGGGTTGTGCCTCTTTTCCTGCAACTCTTCTTCTCTCTCCTTTTTTCTTTCTCTCTTCTCTCTTCTCTCTTCAACTACATTGATTTTAACTTAAAAGAATAAGGCCCAAAATGCATGAAATAGATGAAAAGGAATATATAACCAACTCTTTTCTTCATTCCCAAAACTACTGATTTCAACCACTCAATCCTTTTTGTCTTCCTTTTTAGTTCACCAATCACCATGTCAAATAATACAAAAGCTTTTCTTTTCTTTTCTTTTCCTTTTTTTCCCTTCAGCCCTATTGAAAACTCCGCATTGAACATATTTGCCAAAATTTTCCATTAGAAGTAAAAGCCCATACACTTTTGTTCCAAAAGATCCTTAAGGATCAAATATGTTACTCAATAACAACTATTTGTTGGTTTACTCATGCATATTGTATCTAATGATAAAGGAATGGTAGCAAAAAACTTTGTTCCACCAAGATCATCCACAGGATAGATTTCAATGGATCAAAAATAAAGGCAAATATCATGTCAAATGATATAACAGCTGAATGCGTGCCAATTGCACATGCAGAGGGTAATCATCTATTCTGCTACATAGTTTTAGTGTAACCAACTTAGAATGACTCATCTATGAAAGGATCAGCATTTTATCTCTCCAAAAAGTTTACAATTTCAGCCATCTAAGAGGGTCCCATTGTCCTTTTGAATGTCTCTGTGAGTCTCTACACAATTAACATAAGAAGCTTCTTAGGGTAAAGTAATCAGTGAGTCAGGTTGTATTGGATTGAAGCTTTGTGGATCAGAACAAGTAGCAGTTCTGAAGGTAGAGATAATGCAATGGAAAAGAGAGGAGACTGACGATAGTTAGGGTTCACACTGAGGGTTGAGTTTGAGACGACAGAGGGGTTCGATGAGAAAGAGCAGGATTCAATGTGAGAGAGAGTTCAACGAGAGATAAATTCAAAGCGAGAGAGAGAGAGAGAGAGGTTGGAAGCATGGTTGTTAGAATCTTACACTTCATGATTCGATTCATACAATTCGATATGAGTTTCAACAAAAACAATTCAAATCATGCTATTGAATCAGAAATTGAGTGAATCATGCAATTCAATTTATGATTCATTGTGATTCACTATGATTCAATTCTATTTCCATTTTTGTTTACATAATGCATGAAACAATGTCGTTTTCCCCAAACTATGAAGATATACAGAAGAGATTAATTAGTTATATTGATATACGTGATTTTATATATATATACATAATTTAGTCATATTGATAATTTACTTTAATTTAAACAATATGTATTTTTACATGTATATAAAAATATATAGAATTATATATCATATTAAATAAAATGAATCTTACGATTCATGATTCGATACGATTCAAGATTCACTATTTTAAGAAAACAATTCACGATTCGATTCATGATTTGACAACAATGGTTGGAAGATAGAGAAAGGGTTCAACAAGAGAGATTTAGAGAGAGAAGTTTGAAGAGGGAGAACCTATCTAGTGAATGTTGTAGACCTAAGAAGCACAGGTACAGGTACGAGTACTGGTACTGGTACAATACGAGTACGTCGATGTGGTAAAATCCAAAAAAGTAGGCTACGGGTATGGCTTGGTCTTGGTACTTTTGTAAGAAAATATTTATTTTTAATTTGGAGTAATGCAAAAATTGATTAAATCGTTTAATTTGTTAAGATCCAACCCACAATTAACATTTAATGTCAAAAGTAAAGATATAAACCAAAATTAAATGTCATTATATTAAATAACTTACAAATCATACCTTAATTTTAAAATCATGCTAAACATAAAACTAAAAATAAAAAAGAAGTATGGTGAAAGGAATTTTATCTCTTGGTAGAAGAAAATATTGTTTCAACTAAGGTACAGTACAACTTGAGTATATACTAGGCACGTTTAGATACGCCAAAAATTAATAAGAAAAAATTTGGATACGTGTTTCGTGTACCCAGTACGTATGCAAAAGTACCACACGAAATACCATACGCCAGTAAGTACCCAGTACGGGTACGCCATGTTTGTTGAAGTACCCATGCTTCATAGTTGTAAACTAAAGGAAGAAGTTGTGACGACTTGCAATCTCTAAGAACCAACTTGTGATGCCATTGAGGTTCGAAAGTCCAACTATGACCTCCAATTGTGAGATTATAGAGAAAAACAATGGCCTTGTTTGGTTTGTATTTGAGAAACATGTTTTGAGATAAAAAGTACGAAAATTTGTTTGGTTGGGTTTTTTTTCAAAAGATGTTTTGAAAAATTATTTTGAGAGAGAGTTTTGGAAAAAGTGATTGATTTGATGTGTATGAGAGAGAGATTTGATTGGAAAATTTGTAAACCAATCAAGTTTTGGAAAAAAAATTTGGAAAAATTTGTTTGGTTTGATTACTTTTGAAAACTTATTTGTAGAGAATTTTTCCCAAAATTTTTTGAGAAACACAAACCAAACAAGGCCAATATTGCATTATTCCAAAATTTGGTACAATGTTTTCCTAACACAAAATAAATAGAAGATTAACCCTAATGACTAAAAGATGGCAAATCTGCAACAGTACCCTCAACCCAAAAATAAATAACACCAATAGGAGAAATACATCATCACAGTAGCTTAATCTCTCACCGTCATACCAATAGCTAACAACCATGTAAATTTTTTTCTTAGAGCCTAGTAGGGGTCATCCTTATTAGCATATTTCCATTAAATAGTAGAAACAATAGAGATAAAAACTCGTGTCAAAATCAATCAGTAAACATGAAACATTAGACTGTTTTGTATTTCAGAATGAGTGATTCTAGCTTTCATCTTTGTCTATAATTATATGCTAACAATGCATTATGTCAACAAGATTTTTACCATCACCTAGGCAATTAAGAAATATGTTAACAAATAACAGTTCTCAAACACAAAACATATGACACACACAACTTAAGGACACTACCTTGAACCCAGCATCCACACTCCTTATGGCTAATGTGCCAATAACATCATCGGCTTCAACACCCGGCACCTGCTTTATAAGAAAACTTTAGGTCACCTCCACGGTCCACCAATCACCTCAGTCAACTCATCATAAGTCAGTGCTTTAGAGCTACTTACCTCAATTACTTTAATGGACATAGCTTTAATAGATGCCTTCAAGTATTGAAGTCCTTGAACTATGGTATCAGGTGTAGGGGGGCGATTGCTCTTGTACGAGGGGTAGAGAGTGTGGCGAAAATTTAGGCCTTCACAAAATTCAAGAAATATTGTTAAAGACAACTTGATAAGAGTAACTAAACCTTTAAATTTACATATGTAGTACACAAATAGAGAGAGAGTGTTAACATGATCGAGTCTATGGAGCTCTGAAGTTTCACAATTGACTCCATGTCACGACCCCAAACCGCCCCTAGTAGTTTGGTGTCGTGATGGCCAGTAATCCGAGATTACCAAAGGCCAACTCGGTAAAATTCACACACAATCAGAGTATTACATATGGGGCTAACATGTGCGGAAGCAATATATACACAAATTTAGTAAGTCCATAAGAGTTGTACATAACTTAAATGGAATGGCATACATTCGTTCATAGCTTTAATACAACAAAATGAAGTACAAAAATACATCTTGACCAAAAGGCTTCTCAGCTATCAAATACAAGATACAATAAAATACGACTAAGAAGCATAATCTTCAAGATGCGGCAAAAGTGCGTAATCCAAAACAAGTAGCAAGTACATTTAGGCGTCACCACCGTCCTGCTCGTCACCTACATATATATAGGGAGGGGTGAGCTTGGATACTCAGTGAATGGTATAAATAATAAAGGGTTTTGCATGTATGACATCCGTGACCTTTAACAAAACAATGCATAATCATAGCTTATGACAAACGTGGGATAAATCGTGTTCATCTAACAAATCTATCGAGCTTCATCAATCAAGGTCTTTCAAATTTCATGGGTGACATTAACAAAGATTGTGCTACAAATGCTTATAGTCCCCTAGCACGTACAGACTTTCAAGATTGTGCTACAAATGCTTATAGTCCCCTAGGACGTACGGACTTTCAAGATTGTGCTACAAATACTTATAGTCCCCTAGCACGTACGGACTTTCAAGATTGTCAAGATCAAAGCTAATACTTGATACACAAATGGGGATAGTCCTTCATGCTTAGCAAATACTTTCCAAAACAAAGCAAAACGAAGCTTTAACAAAATGTTATAACATAGCTTTATTAGAAATACCACTCACCTAGTTCTTCAACGTCGGGGTCAAGCGAGAGTCCAAGTCCTTAATACACGAATCTAACGGTTAGATCTCTAGGAATCAAGCTCGAAGATCCACTCTCTCACTCTAAGACTTCTTCTTCTTCCTAGAGCCTCTCTCTCTACAAGGCAAAGATATGATACAAAATGATAGGTTCTACTTACTGCCGGCTGATTTAACATTCAGTTCGGACACGTGGCAATGGCTGGTTGGTTCTCCCCAAAGAGGAGGCTGACAGATCAGACAAAGTATGGCGAAAGGGTGTTTAACAAGTAAAGCGGCATGGCATTCTGACAAAGTACTGACATCGGGTGAAAACATCGGCTCCGGTAGGTGAGGTACCTATGATCCCGGTTAGGACGGACAACACTTGGCCTAGTTGTGCCACACCTCGGCCTAGATGTGCCACACCTTGGTCTAGGTCGCACCAATCAGGCACAAGATCACTTGGGTTCAAGGATAACATCTCGACCTAGATGATACACCCCTCGGTCTTGATGATACACCTCGGCTTAGAAAATGACATCTCGGCCAATATGCCAGGACGAAGGTAGAGGTCAACCAAAGTGGTTTCAAGGTGGTTCTGGCTTTAAGGTGACCTCGGCTAGACTCACCAGAAAGAACAAGACTCAACAAGTAAATTTCACATAAGTACATACCAAGACAAAAATCTCATTCTAGTTAAGACAAGTCAAGAAAATTCGCTACTGCAACTTAGCAAAACAAGATTATACAAATGCTCATGCCCGAGGCTAAGGTGGGGAATGAGGGTCACTACACTCCAATCCTCAAATCCCAATGAAGTCTTCGAAAACCCAGACAATTAAGTCTTGGAAAACCCAAGCAATTAAGTCTTCGAAAACCAAATTAACATAGGCGACAAACTATTAAATTTGGTTTCCATCCAGACCGGGACTCATTTGGGACCCTTATATAATTTAGTCCTGAGTCTTTTTTTTATACATGTTTGATGGTCCATTTTAATTTTATTCTGCTAGTCAAATTTATTAATTTTTTGTGTCAATAATTGTTGGACATGAGAAGTAGGGATAATTCTATTCACACACTATACTTTATTTCAGTACAGACCATTTGTGTCGTTCGGATATCAACTTTTGAACCCAAAAAAAAATGTTGAATAACAAAAACCAATTGTTCAAACAAAAATCTCATTCAATAGCTGATATCCGAACATTTGTATTTTGTTCGAAAGTTGATATCCAAACATGTGTATTTTGTCCGGAAGTTGATATCCATATGGTACAAATGGTGTGTAAGATTTGTATTTTGTTCAGAAGTAGAGATCCAAACATGTGCATTTTGTCCTAAAGTTGATATCCAAATGGCACAAATAGTGTGTACTAAGCAAAGTGTGATATTCGAACATTTTGTTTTTGTTCAAAGGTTGATGTTCGACAACACAAATGCTGTGTACCGTGATAAAGTATGGTGTGCAAATAGAATTATCTAAGTAGTAGTCATAGTTAGGGCTGTAAACGAGCCGAGCCGAGCCGAGCTGAGCTTTGATGGGCTCAAGCTCAACTCGTTTGCTTATCGAGCTCAAGCTCGGCTCATTAATATTAGTTGAGCTCAGCTCAAAGCTCAATAATACAATTTTTTTATTATTATTCATATTATTTAAATATATACACATAATATTTATATATTATTTAAAAAAATTATTTATATTATCTTAACATATAAATAATATAGTTATGCTATTATTTATACATATTTTATAAATAAATAATACATTTATTTTATAATTTGAATTAAAAAAAAAAATGAGTCAAGCTTAACAAGCCGAGCTTATTCGAGCCCGACCTCAGCTCGTTTACTAAACGAGCCTAAAAATTAGGCTCAAGCTCGTTCATTTAGTTAATGAACCGAGTCAAGCCGAGCCCTTAACGAGCCAAGCTCACGAACAACTAGGTTCATTTGCAACCCTAGTTATAGTCAATGGGCCATAATTTAGATCAAGTAATGTTTCTTGATTTTTATATGCAATCTTAGTTGATCTAGAAGATTTGTGATTACTATATAGTTTTAGATTTAGTTTCTAAATTGGAGTCCTAGTCCTCGTAAAAGTAGTCTTCAACCTATAAATACATGTATAATCTCATTGAATTAATGGAGAATTGATATTGTGTTTTGAATGAGATTTGCTCAACCCTTGCGAGGACAAGCTCTTAGTTTCTTTCTTCTTCTTCTTTTTCTTCTTTGCATTACTATTTTCGGGTAACTGTTCACTGCCATAGAACAATCCCCTTTTCAACTCCTAACCCTAGCCAATCCAGTTAAAGTCATCCCTAACACTTTGCCCTACCCTTTGGCCTTTTAATCTACAATAGAAACCCTTGATTTCACAGTTGTCCAGAGAAATCCAACCTAGTCTCTCTGCAAATCCTGCAACCTGACACTAAAAAAATCAACTCACTTCACCAGCTTCCTCCTTACAAAAAAATATTTCTTCTATTTTTTAAAAACCTAACCCTAAAAGCTTTCCATAACCAAAAACCGACCACGATTTTAATTGTAAACCCACCACTGCTATTATGGATGTTCAAATTATGCAGTCAACCAAAGAACAAAACCAAACCAAGCCAACCTGTTTGGTTTGGGCTGGGTTGCGTTGGGTTGGTTTTTGGGTGAACTAGTTTGGTGCTACAAATAGCCAGTAAGACAAAATGTCACATCTTATCCATCAAGTCAATCACTTTTTCTCTCACAACCATCTATTCAACTACAAAAAAAAAATAAAAATAAAAAATTTCACAAATCATTCAAAACACAACTTTTTTTCATATCATAAAATAGCCAAAAAGCCAACTAAAATAGCCAAGTTCCCAAACGAGGGTATATTCATATAAAATCACGTATATCAATATAACTAATTAATCTCTTCGATATACCTTCATCGTTTAGCAAAAACAATGTTGTTTCATACATCATGCAAACAAAAATAGAATATAACTGGATCGCAATGAATCGTAGCGAATTGCAATGAATTGTAAATTGAATCGTACGATTCACTATATTTTCCAATTCAACAACACGATTTGAATCATTTTTGTTGAAACTCATATCGAATCATATGAATCGAATCATGAATCATATGATTCTAACAACCATGGCTAGATCTTCAAATCATCAAACCGATAGTATTGGGTTGGTTCTTGGTTTAGGCCTTGCCTAAACCGAACCGAACCAACCCGAGAACCGAACTTTTTTATGTATATTTTTTAAATTTTTATTTATATTGACATGCCTTCACCTAATTGGTCTATTACAATGGGCACCTAATAATTTTCCATATACAAGAATTATTAGATGATCGAAGAAAATAGTAGAAGCTTGAGTTGGATTTCAAAGTTGATTAATTTGTATTGGTTGTATTAATGGATTTAATCTGTATTGGTTATGCTTAAGTTCGAGTTGGATTTAATTTCTATTGGCTTGCATTAAACAATATTTTGCTCTTAGTTTGTGTAATGTTTAAATGTTAAAGACGTGTATATTTTAATTATTCTTATTGATTGATTCATTTATTTTTAATGTAGTGGAACCGTGGTTCCAACCCGAGTTACATTGGGTTGGGTAGGGTTGGTTCTAGTGCATGATTGGTTTGGTTCTGAGTCCAAAAACTTGAAACCAATCATGATTGGATTGGTTCTAAATTTAGTGCCAAACCAACCCATGAACACCCATAACTGCTATGATAGATGATAATTTCTTGAAGCTACAAGAGACAGACATGATGGCCTATGAATATGAACCTCAATAGAATTGGTGGCATAAAAGGATACGTCTAGTCAGCCAGCATTAGTTGGGATATCAGATTGTGTTCAGTCAAATTCGGATAACTTTGACTGGAATACAATGAAAAGCAGCTAATAGAACTACGTAATGTTGAGAAATTTGAAACTGATATCAATGCGTCTTCACTTTGGTCTTCATTATTAGCAGTGGATTCCAATTCGAATTCAGATATTGAGAATATCCAGAAGAAGAGGAAAAAAGTCATAACTCCATTGTTGGCAAGCGCAGAATCACATGCTATGAAGCACGGACACTTCAATATAGGTGCCGTAGCGGTGTCGGACACAGGGACACACTAGGGACATTATGGGACACCTTAAATTTTATTATTTTTTTTGAAGGGGACACGCCAAATGGAGTGTCCCATTTATTTTTATTTTTTATTTTTTATTTTTTATTTTTTATTTTTTATTTATTTTTTTTTTGCAGGGGACACGGCGGGGACATGAGTGTTCAGATATAGATAATCTATTAATTTGTTTAAATGTAGTAGTTTATATATATATATAACATGCAGTAATAGCATAGTGGATAATATATATATACTGAATTAATGTTAATTTTTATTAATTTTAATTATTTGATAACATAATATTAATCTACATAGCAAATATATATAATAATTTGTCGTGTCCCCTGCCATGTCCGTGTCCCCATTTTTTAGAAATCACTATGTCCCATATCCGTATCCGTGTCCATGCCCGTATCCATATCCGTGTCCGTGTCCGTGTCCGTGCCCGTGTCTCTACATCGCATGCCATATCAGGAGTTAAATGGAAATCCAGTGAGTTGTTTTTTAACTTGCATAAATAAGGCACATTTGAAGCAAAGAATAGAGAGAAATAAAGACAGTATGTGCATTACAGAACATGTGAGTACACTCGGGAGCATACAAAACACATGGAAGCACACATTTATGCATGTGCACCCACATAGGAATGCATGCACATGAAGGCTGAAGAAAGAGAGAAATAGACGGTACAAAAAGCATCTCAGAAGAAATTTGCGGCCAATTAAATCAAAACTCAAAATGGTAATCTCCAAAAGAAGTAATATTAGCAAGCTGTTGCCAAAATAGAACAAAATGCTTTCCTATGGTACCACTTAATTAAAAAAAAAAAAAAAAAAAACCCAAAAGGAAAGGAAAAAAAAATGAATGTTTGAGAAAATTATGATCAAGAATGTCTTCCAGCCTGTTATAACAGAAGGTAAGGCAATAAAAATGAGCATCCAAATTTTAAAGAAAATAGTAAAACATAATGAATAGATGATATAGTGACTAAAATTTCAGTCAAGTAAACGGAATGCAAGGTTATTCCAACACTGACCAAGTTAGGTGGCATAGTTGCATTGCGTACCGGTTTATCTGAATACATAAGCAATTTATAATAGCAACTATAGATTTTCGAGGCCATGCTCAAGCATGATTATCTATACAAGATTCAGCAACCAATGGACTGTATTAGCCAATAAAGACAGGGTTGTCAATTGTCATACAATAACAGTAAAACCCCACCAATATGAATTCTGTTTTGTAGCATGATTACTGTGCAACACTTGTACATAAAAACAATCCAAGAATTCTAGTTTGTACATCGGTCTATCACATAAAGCATCATCACACTTATTTCCCCAACAAAACACCATGGCACTTGTTCCATGGCCATAATCATTTTCATGATCTTTACGAATTAAATCAAAACCCAGCCACCTGGCAAGTCAAACATCTTCATGCTATAAATGAGACAAATAAAAGTAAAGAAGAAAAGAGCTAGCTCATGCTAGGCTCGAGCAATCTCACCCATATATGATGTCATTAAATAATACCGCATTTATTTTTCCCACCAACTGGACTGCAGTTTGATTGATGCAATTTTTCCAAACAACATGCAACGGCACTAATTAATGCAATTTTTTAAGTGACGCTAATTATACTTAAGAAGGCAGGATGCACTAGCAAACAAGGTCTTTACAGGCACAAGTTAGAATACTCAACCTACAGTCATAAACCATACATGCACTAATAACACAGAGACAATAAATGATATGATGTGGATGCAAGCAATAATATAGGACATAGATAACCCCCACACACACCCAAAAAATAAATAAATAAATAAGTAAAAAGAAGCGTACGTACATATATATATATATATATATATTGTGGCATCAAATAGCGTACCCCAGTGACACTTTAAAATGCTTAGCCAAATGGCAAAGCCATGGAGAACACTGCGTGAGTGTATATATACTGGTGCTCTAATATATTGGAATTGAAAATACCTTCTAGTTTGAAAGACCTACATTAGAACATAATTTGCAAAGGAAGAAGGGAAATAAAATAGAAAACAAAAACACAAGAAGATAGAAAGAATAATGAAGGAAAATCTACAGTATTAGAAAAACCTTATTTACCATGTGTCCAAAACCACATACTCTACACTCCAAAATGACAAAATTTCTTGATAAAAACACACACATTGACTTCAAGTAATAACTCTGTTTGGTTTTGAGTTTTAGAAAACAGTTTTTGAGTTTTTTTGTTTTTTGAGTTTTGTTGTCTTTAGTGAACATTTTTTGTATTTTAGTCAAATGTTTTTACTTTTAAAATGCACCTAATCTAAATGTACTTAAGAAGTAAAATATTTGTGAAAAAATCTATAAAAAATAAATAAAATTAATAAATACAAAAACTACGAAAATGTACTATTGTTTGTATTTTTTTGTATTTAATGAATTTTTAAAAGATTTTTTGACAAACTTTGTACTTTTAAAATGTATCTAGATTCAGTGAATCTAAAAAGTAAAAAAAAATTAATAATTAAAATATTAAAAAAGTACTAAAAACTAGAAAATACAAATTGAAACTCAAAAACTGTTTTGGAAATTGTTAAACCAAAGAGAGTATTGCATCAAAAAATAAATAATTAAAAATTCACAGTACTCAAGAATTCTGCAGTCAACACTAAACTGAACATGCCAGACAAAATACTACAGTGGCGTAACAAGGTGTGCATGAGATATACTGTATCAACATTTAATGAATTTTTAAAAGATTTTTTGACAAACTTTGTACTTTTTAAATGTATCTAAATTTAGTGAATCTAAGAAGTAAAAAAAAAATTAATAATTAAAATATTAAAAAAGTACTAAAAACTAGAATATACAAATTGAAACTCAAAAACTGTTTTGGAAATTGTTAAACCAAAGAGAGTATTGCATCAAAAAATAAATAATTAAAAATTCACAGTACTCAAGAATTCTGCAGTCAACACTAAACTGAACATGCCAGACAAAATACTACAGTGGCGTAACAAGGTGCGCATGAGATATACTGTATCAACAGGAAAATGTCTAGAGTTAGACTTGATAAGGTCTTACATCTACTGTCCAATATTTGTATATTCAGGCTCTATTATCATTATATTCCTTCCTTCGTGTCCCTCTTTCTGGGAAAATGACGCCATTGTTTTCCTTCCTTTTTTGTCCCTCTTCCTGGGAAGGGGGAGGGAGAAGTACTTTAAATCTTTATACAAGAGCTGTCTGCTATATTCCCACCTGGGCTACAAGGCCAATAGGTTATACTGTTGTCATATAGCATTCAATCTTACACTCGTGCACTAAGTTATCCACATTCCTTCATCTATTCTCACTGGAAGCACTCGTAATTCTCCCACGTAGCAAATATATCCTCAGCTCTTTCTTTCTTAAGTATAGGCCCACAGTTCTAATTTATTTCCCAAAAAAGGGTATTAGAAACAAACAGCATACCTTTTGCCACAAAACTTTGTTTGGAGGAAACAGATGAATGACCAAATGGAATTCCTGTAAAGAAAAAGTTTGTTTTATCAAAATATTGCCCTACTCAACATCCTCAAAAACTAACCCAATAACTCGAAAATACTTGCCACTGATTACAGAAGGGATGAGCAAGGTAGGTAGATACCAGTGTTATTTAACCCATGCCACTCGTTTGCATACATCTCACGAAAATGTTCTATCTCGAAATTAATAGCATCTAAAAGCATCTACAAGACACCCATCCAAAAAAATGTTCCCCATGAATGTACTAAAAGAGTAAGACTCAATCTTAGGGACACGGGCCTGGCAGGCAAGCAGGGCGGGTTTGTAGTGCCGACCCCTGCACCCGCCGCATATCATCTCTGAGGCGGGGCAAATCAAAAAAGTAGTGGAGTTGGGGTGGGTTAATTTTATACCTTTAGGAATGAGGTTACTAATAAAAATGAAAGATGACATGGTATATTAAAGATAATGATTTATAAGTGATGAGAGTTAAAATATGTAACATGACAAGTAAAGAAGTGAAAATGTATGTCACGAGTAATATTTTTGTATATTTAACAAATTAAATTTTACATTGTTATATTTAATAAATATAATCGGGACAAGGGAGGGGTAAGGAGACCCCAAGCAGGCGGGGTGAGGCAGGGGGAATTGACATCCGTATTCTTATGATTTCTTCAAGTTGAAGCCAATAATTTGACTACATAAACACTACTACGACATATTTCTATTAACCAAAGCACCTAAATTGGTAAACGGGCACAGAAAGATTAGTTAATAAATCAAACACTCTGAACAATCACAATAGGACCAGCCTTTTTTTTTCTCTTTTTGCATTCAGTTTAAAACAAGGGATAAGGAAAAAACACCCAAGGAGCACCCATAAATGAGCAGAGAAAACAAGCAAGCAAGATAACTGCAAATAAATCGTCCCAATTGCCTTTAGAAACCCCTGAAGCTGTTCAGGGACAAAGCTCAACCAAACCAGATCAACTGCATTCTTGCAACAATACACTGACATCAGTTCTCAAACTTCTGGAATTCCTCTCCTTCCAGCTTACCCAAACAACAACAGTGGAAGCAAGGTTTAAAAGAACATTTCAGCTATACATTTCACAGTATGATTTTACATGGGTCATGCTTATGCACAGTATAAATGGTAGAAACCACAAAGTATTACCATTGAGCTAATCCAGGAACATTAGGCCAGTTTTATGTCACACTATAAGGGCCAAAATTTAGACATAACAAAAGAAACAGAACCTAAACCACAAGACTGGGGGCAGATAGCACTAGCCACTGCACCAGGTCTGCATATTCATTAGAAGATTCCGACGAACTTTAACAAAAAACAAAGGTAGAAAAGGACAGTATATTCATGAATGCTGTGCAGTTAAGTCCTATTAGCAATAATATAAGCTAAAAATTAAAGGGTTCAAGCTATAATTTTGGTTCGGATAGCAGGACCTCAATAGAAATCGCCAGGCAGTCCTGAAACATTGTTTCATGTTCCACGATCCTTCGAGTTCCTAAAACCCAAAAAAATTAAGAGATGCCAAAAGTTCTCTCTTTCACTAAAGACTATGATGCAGAGTATAAGAAGCTCAAGAAAGACTAAACTCAAAGAAGTGATGATATTTGGACATTGGCATGATTTCATAGACGAACTGATAGAAATCTTATATAATTATGTTTATACTATTATTAGTCATAATTTATGATTACATATTTATGTTTTCTAGGATTTTTAGGTCAGGGATATTTTGGAAATTTTCATATTTGTTGAAATAGTCTGTAGGGGTTGCCCATGGATTGTCTTGCGGGTCAAATTATATAATTGGTTTTTATTTATATTTCTTATTTGGTCTTAAATTGGTTTTAAAACTCAAAGAAATTGTAACAGTTTCCTTTTTTGGTTTTAGTTGGTTTAGAAGTCTCTAAAGTCTATATAAAGTCATGTAATGCTTCTAATTCTATGGAGTTGACAATTTATGGAATTTTCAGAACTTTGAATCCTCTTTTGGGTTTATGTGATGCAACTCTAACCCTAGGTGTTATGCCTATAGAATCTAAGTGTGATGCCTAGACCTATCTTCTTCTCTTCTTTCTTCTTCTTTCTATTTCAGTTTACAGTTCACGAACTACTGTTCACAGCTCCTAAACAACCCCTATTTTGATCTCTTTCATCCGATTTATTAATCCTAAACCTAGTTCATTCCACTCATTAATTGAAATCCTAAAATTCCTATTGATTTTCAGCTTTAAGCAACCATAAAAACCCATAGAAAGTCATTTTTAAATTCCTCACAGCGCTGTCCCTAATTGTGCTACATCAGACTATGTATGGGTCAATCAACCCCCTTACATGAGCTAATTCTAATTTAATCAGGATTCAGCTGATCAGTTATTGAGGCCAAAAGAATGCATGAATGAACTAAACCATCCATTCCATTAAATGGTAAACTTATCCAATTTAAATGAAGAAAGAAAGATGGTTATTTAAAATTTCTTCGTGACTAAGGTATTTCCTTTTTGACAACTATTTCAGCCTATAAAAAAATAAAGGACTACTATTAAATCAGAGGGAAAACACAAGTAAAAAGTCAGAAGAAGAAAGGTGTTAGCTTGGACAAAACCATGCATTTCAAAAATAGTCCATGCATGACAAAAACAGCATGAAGATGGATAGTATGATCCCCATACATGACGGAAGATAATAAGGGATTAGCATGGACAAAAATGAAGGAAACAGAGCAGAATAGAAGATGTAACTAGATTATAAAACTTACCGTCATGGTCAAAAACCACCTGCACAAAAAACAAAACAAAAAAGAATCCAACATAAGCAACAGTAACAGTCCCAAAGCACACACTAAATGAATTTAAAAAAAGGAAAGAATCAGAGACTACAAATAAACAAATGGATTTAAAAGCATAAAAGAGCAACGATGAGAATACCAGGTAATTGAAATTTCACATTTCCAATTATGATATGTAAATAATTACTAGAAACTTAAAAGCATACTAACAGCTCCTTTTGGTTCTAGAATGTCTAGATTTTACAAAAGGAGAAGAAAAGGAAATAAAGAGAAGAGACGGGCAAAGGAGGAAGAGAGACTTGTACTATTTATGCTCTCCCTTAAAACATTAATAAATAAGAATAAAGTACAATCAAATAACATGATAGAAAGGGGTGAGAAGGTGCCCCTTCTGCTAAGTTGGATATGGGGAAGTTAAAGCAGGACACTTGGTGTGACGTCATCCCATTAGCACACACTCAAGCTGGTGCAAGAAAATTAAAAATGCCCATTTGCACAAAAATGTGATAAAAAGCTGCATTCCTTTAGCCAATGGCTTGGCAAGTTCTTCTCTGTCTTCAACAGATGGCACATCAATGAAGATCGAGGAACTCGACCGCTCCATCACAACTAATGAGTGGTACATATCAAACACATGAGCATGGTGGCGTAAAGTTTACAAATTTTTAGTATGTGAAAGGTAGAGTAATCAGAAGTTGAGAAAGTACTAAATTGACTAGGACCATCCTAGAAGTTTTGCTAGGGGACACCATAAAGAGAAAAGAGCCTATCAACAAGCCTCCTTATCAGATTTTAATTCGTACTTTGGGAAAATCATTGGGTACTAATTGATGGAAGAGTATGGTGTGAGGCACCCTTTGCAACCCCACTAACAAGCAGAAAGCAACATAACAATAGCCAAAACTACAAAGCAGAAGACAGCCCAACCACAGGACAACACAACAAACAGGTTTACTATTATCCATCTAGCCAACAACATTGTTTGCAACATGTCCTTGACACAAGTCCAAAAACAAATCAGATACTGATAACATCAAGACTAATCCCCATTCATCAATCTACCCAACAGAAGAATTCAGATGGTGGTCCACAAATTGGAAATGCTTTTGAAGGGAATGTGAATGCACCCAACCCTCCTAACTGAGAAACAGCCATCTAGAGAAGGACAAAGAACAAAAAAGAATATATCAAAAACCTAGATTCCTTGTCTTTGGATATAAAAGCATATACAAAGACCGTTGAATATAGAAATTAGAGTATATAAAATCTTTTTATTTTTTGTATTATGTATATAATCTGTGATTGTGTCAATCACTCATTTAGTATTGCTTCCTTATTTATATCGTTTCCTAAATTGTATCATAAATCTATTATATATACATGGTCTCTACCTCATTTATAGGTAAGCCAAATAATTCTTTTCATTGTTTTTGGTATCAAAGTTAGGTTAAGTACCTAGTAATTTTGCTTCACCGGCGGCAGCAGCCTTGCCTTAGCCGCCCGCTGGACCTCAACCCATTCCACTGCCATATTTTCTTTCAATATCACTTCGTGGTGATTTCTTCCGCTATCCACTAGTTTATTTCTATCCCAAATATCTTTATCATATTCTTTTTACTTGCAATCCATTTTTTTGTATATTTCTGTTTCACTTTGTCTTTCCTCTATTTCAACCTCAGATAGGTTTCTATCCTCAAACCTATTTGAGTTTGAGGGGAGTATTATACCTATATCATGACCCTGTAAACTGTCGCGACGTTGATTCCGGTCAATTCCTACAACGGTCCAACATAACCTTAAACTGTGCCGACCAAGGTCTTGTTGGCTGCCGACCAGGGTGTTTCCTAGCCATAGATACTTCGGCAACTCTTCTAGGGCAGTTCAGTCCCTGTTTTTTTCCCTTTCTAGGGTGTGGTGCTGATGTATTAAGCACTTTTTGACCTTTTTTATTTAATGGACTACCAAATTTGTTTGGTGGCATTTATTTGGACTAGCTATTGAGTTTTTTCCAGCTTCTTCCAGTCATCCATTGGCAAGTTACGATTATTGAATATCTTCACACCAGCTTGAGGGGGAGTGTTGAATACAAAAATTAGAGTACATAGAATCTTTTTATTTTTAGTATTATGTATATAATCTGTGATTGTGTCAATCACTGATTTAGTATTGTTTCCTTATTTATATCGTTTCCTAAATTGTATCATGAATCTATTATATATATATGGCCTCTACCTCATTTATAGGTAAGCCAAATAATTCTTTTCATTCTTTTAATACTAGCAAAGGAATAATGGAAAACTAGAAGCGACAGTCTAAAATCCATCTCTCTTTATACCATAAATATAGATTAAATGCCTCAGCATTATTCCAAATGTGGTAAGAGGAACTTGAATTTCAACCCTTCAACTAGCCAGATAGCAGGGGACCAATCTAAGTCAATCTTTCCAGCCCATTATTTAAACAGGAAAAGTACCCAAAAGAAAGAAGAAGAAAAATTAAAAGAAACTCTATCAACTAATTGTCAAAGAAAAAAGAGGTCACAGATAGTAATATCAGCACATCAAAAAATGAAACATTAAAAAGCACTGATTGTGCATTAGTTTTGAGTTTTTTTATTTTGAGAGAGACACACAAACAGAGGGAAAGATCCATACCGCCACATGTGAAGGGATAAATTCCAGAACATCAATTATCTGCGAGAACAATAGAAATCAGCAACACCTAAAATTCCCCAAAAAAAAACCGACAGAAAAATATAGTAATATTTATAGAGGCAATCAATCCATAATTTCAAGCAAAGAAAATTCATGCCCACGTGGAAGGATTTAAAATTAGGAGGAAAAAAGGCATTGACACAGTTTGTCTCATAATAATATTATAATTCATCATGGGTGAATTTAGTTGAAATTTCTCAAAGTAGACAACTTCATGTATCCAATATCAACTTCAGTTGTCTTACGGAAAGCTTCCATGGCAAGATACACCTTGATCTATGATTCTGGCAGCTATGTATACCGAATGGGTGTATATGTATATATATATATATGTATGTATGTTTAGAGATAGGTTTATTCTTTCAATGGGAATTTTGTGGCATATTTCGCAAGATTGTCATTACGTATACAAAATGTGGGAGTGAACATCCATATACATACATATGTATATACATATGTCCAACATCTAAAGTTCCACTCTTTCTTTTTCTTTTCCTTCATTTGGGTTTTGTGTGTGTCTATAAGAAAACACAATCTCTAGTGATAGAACCTTCAATTGCCTTGATCTAATTTTGGATTCAATATTCACAGAAAATTGTAATCTGGTTTACTGTATATCTCAGCTTAAAAATTATGAGTAACACTATAAACACATACATCTGTGTATGCATTATATGTATGTTTGAACAACTCACTTTTCTAAAATATATGTGGATGTCATGGTTGAGAGTGGCTAGTTGAGAAAGGGATGGGGTGGAGTAAGGCGAAAATGGGTTGTAGGTGGTGGTGATGGGTTGAGGGAGTAATGGAGAGGTTGTAGGTGGGGTTGAGAGAGAGAGCAGAGAATTTGGAGAAAGAGAGGAGGGCTTGTCTGCAACAATAATCAAAGGAGAAAGCATAAAGGGGCCAAACTCCCTCAACTCTGAGCACCCTTCATCACTCTCACAACTATCACCACCAATGCACCTTTCTCTCTCTAGAAACCCACTTGCAAATTTGGAGAGAAAAGGCCTAATTGTCCATTGGGTGGTCAAATTTGCAAAAACGAAGTCAACTACCTCAGGTAATACTAGCTCAAGTTTGAAGAGGTATAGAGTTCAAGTCCCCCCATTTGCATTCTTTCTTCTCTCTATGTATGGATGTTTGCATTTCCACATGTAAGACGGAGTTGCATGTAAGGAAGGATGTTGGATAGCTCGATATACATTGGTAAGCCCATTTCCTAACAGCTTAAACTTTTGGGACAATTGGTGACTTAAGACTATTTGTAGACTAAGACCACTAATAACCACAACTAATGACACTTGAGCATTTAAAATGCTTATTTTACTACATCAAAACTCCACCTCTAAAGAAACGTGTCCTAAAGTTGGGTAGTAGCCGGGCAACCCAATGCAACTCCATTTTGAGTTTTAGAGGAAGTTCTAATACACAGTTGTAGATGAGGAGCAGGTTCAGCATTTTCCTAGTTCAAAATGGTCTTCGTAAGGGGTTTATCCATGAATACACTGAAGCTGCAGCCTTGGCTACACAGCCACAGGTGCAAGACACCTTGTTTGTTTTGAGAGAAAACTAACTTAGAGAATGATTAGACAATCACCCCCTTTTATATTGATAATAGGTAGCTTACAATGGAAGCTTTGGAGGCACAAATAAGGAAATAAAAACTAATAGAATAAGAAAGTCCTAAGGCACTAATTAAGGAATCAAAATATAATCTAAATAAGGAAACAAATAATAGAATGATCCTAACATATAGTCTAACACTTCCCCTTAAGCTGGTGCAAAGATATCTCTCATGCTCACATAGCCAAGAATATCATGAAATGGTTTACTGCCAACTCTCTTAGTGAGTATATCTGCAAGTTGTTTGCCAGACTTCACAAATGGAGTACATAGTGTGCCACTAGTGAGCTTCTCTTTAATGGTGTGACGATTAAGTTTAACATGCTTTGTCTTGTCATGTTGAACAGGATTGTGAACTATGTTGATGGCAACCTTATTATCACAATATAGCCGCATGGAGTGTTCCTGATCAATTCCCAAATCACGCAATAACAACTTGATCCACAAAAGCTCACACACACCTTGTGCCATAGTTCTAAACTCAGCTTTTGCCCTAGACCTGGAAACCACATTCTGTTTCTTACTTTTCCAAGTAACCAAATTGCCCCCAACAAAGGTACAATACCCTGACGTGGACCTCCTATCAGTTATTGATCTTGCCCAATCAGCATCCGTATAAGCTTCCACACTAAGATGATCATGTTTGGAAAAATAAAGACCTTTTCTAGAAGAAGATTTCAAGTATTTCAAAATTCTTATAACTGCCGCCAAGTGTATTTCATGATGAGCATGCATAAATTGGCTAACCACACTAAAGGCAATAGTAATATTAGGACGAGAATGAGATAAGTAAATAAGCTTACCCACTAGTCTCTGATAACTCCTCCTATCAACGGCTGTTTCCCCATTATCATCACAAAGTTTATGATTAGGTTCCAGTGGTGTGTTACAGACTTTACTTCCAAGCATCCATGTTTCCTTCAACAAGTCAAAGATATATTTTCTCTGACAAATGAAAATCCCATCTTTCGACCTAGCCACTTCAATCCCCAGAAAGTACTTCAGGTTCCCCAAGTCTTTGATTTCAAACTCACTTGCCAAATACTTCTTTAACAAAAGGATTTCCTCAACATCATCTCCTATAAACACTATGTCATCCACATATACAATGAGAGTTGTAGTTTTACCATAAGAGGAATGCTTAACAAACAAAGTATGATCAGCCTGACTTTGTTTGAAGCCATATTTTAGCATCGCCTGAGTGAATCTCTCAAACCAAGTCCTAAGAGACTGTTTGAGGCCATATGAAGACTTCCAAAGTCGACACACCTTACCCTTAGTTTGAAGAGTTTCAAAGGCAAGAGGAATGTCCAAATACACCTTCTCCTCTAGGTCACCATATAGGAAAGCATTTTTCACATCAAACTGATGAAGTGGCCAATCCAAATTAGTTACCTATGACTGAATTCATCTTCGCAATAGGAGCAAATGTCTCTTGCTAGTCCACCCCGTAGGTCTGAATGAAACCTTTTGCTACAAGTCGAGCATTATACTGCTCAATTGAACCATCTACCTTATGCGTCACAGTATACACCCATTTGCATCCCTCAGTACATTTGCCCTTACGTAACTCAGTCAAATTCAAAGTGTCATTCTTACGAAGTGCTTTCATTTCCTCTACCATAGCCAGTTTCCACTCAAGAATAGTAAGAGCATCCTGAAAATGATTAGGTATACTAACAAAAGAAATTTTTTACACAAAAGCTTTATATAAAGAGGACAAATGAGAATAGGACACAAAGTTAGAAATAGGATGATGAGTACAAGATCTCACACCTTTTCTCTTAGCAATGGGCATATCAAGATCAATAGGCTCAGACCCAGAGGTAGTGATATCAAGAGTTTTAGGGTTACCTAGACCTTCATCAAGAGAAGGAGACGATAGTGATTGATCAAAAATGGTCTCTTGTATCCAAGTAACTTTCTATCTTTCTTTATCCCTGACATAGACTTGTGTTAGAATTTCCCATCTTTACCTTTACCTACTCCACTACACACTCCACTTCACCTACCTCCACTTCACCACACACTCCACTTCACCTAACCCACTATCACCTCCACTACACCTACTACCACATTTTCTTCTATATATAGATTGTATAGGAATTGTAATTAATCAATCTTGTAATACAACAATCTTGTAATATCAATCATCAATACATATTTCATTCTCTCTATTTTTTCTTACATTAAATTTTACATGGTATCAGAGCAGGTTTAGAACCTAATATTTTTCGCTTCACCGGCGGGCGGCAACCTCACCTTCGCCGTCCGCCGGACCTCAACCTATTCCGCTTATTTTCTACACATACCTCGACTCCGCTGCCACTAAACCCAAGTCAACATTCACCTTCAAGATCAGAGTGGCGCAGCGAAAGCGTTCGAAGGAAAGACGAAGAAGCAGAAGAGGACGAAGCAGACATGGTTTCTACGAGACGAAGTGGATCTCTCTCCGGAAACACCAGCAAGCGATCATCTTCTTCCGAAGACAAGCCTCTCTCTCCCAAGCGCCAAAAGGCTGAAAATGGCGGTTCATCGGAAAAATCGGCTCCCGCTGAGAATTCCAAGGAAATGTGCTCTCCGGCGGCCGTGGATCCACCGGAATGCGGGCCTGTTGATCCTCCGACTGCCGGCGTCGGCGAGGCTGTGAGTCTCGGTAAAGGCGATGCGGCACAAGCGGTTGCTGTAGCTACCCCGATCGCTGATGGTTCTTCGCCGGTTGTGGTGGATAAACCAAGGAGTTCTTTCTCTTCATGGAGTACTTATCAGAAGCAGAACCTCAGTTTTGAATCTTCAACCCCGTGGTGTAGGCTTTTGTCGCAGTATGGACAGAATTCCAATGGTGCTCTTGCTTCATTCCAAAATTCCAAGTATGGACAGGCTTTTGTCGCAGTATGGGCAGTATGGACAGAATTTCAACTTTTGCCCAGACTACATCATTATATATCTTTAATGCCTACTGTCACAACAACAGACACTGCTGTGTTGTTTTTGAGAAGCGTCAGACAACTTGCATCCACCCACAGCTCCTTTTTCTTTTGCCCACTAACCTTTCTTTTATTTTAATTTATGTCTCTATATATCTATATTTATTCTAATATATTGCACCGAATCTGTCTCCTTTTGCACAAACCCATTTTCTTTTCTTCTTTAATTTCTTTCTTTATTTATTTATTTCTTTTCATCACCTTTTGACTCCACTATCTCTTATTTTAATATATCTCTATATATATATATATCTATGTTTATTTTATTATATTGCACCAACCCAGCATATAGTTTCCAAGTCCCCATGTTGGCTTAGTCCCCTCTTATTATTATTATTATTATTATTATTATTATTAAAATTATTA